TCTTCTAAAGAGCCACTAGGCCAAAAAAGTTGCAACATGTAGGAAACCTTTTAAGTGTAATTTTACTCTAATGAAAATTCAATTTTTTTTTCAAATGATGACCCCTGGGGGTAGGGTGGGGCTACAATTGGGGATCAAAGTTTAACATAGAATAACATAGGGAAAAAAACCTCTAAAAATCTTCTTCTCAAGAACAGCGAAGCCATGATTAGTCACACTGATATGGAAGCATCCTCCGGTAGTGTAGATTCAGATTTGTTCAAATCATGACCCCCGGGGGTAGGTAAGGGTTACAATGGAGATCAAACTTTTGCATAGGAATTTATAAGAAAATAAACTTTAAAAATCTTCTCAAGAACAGCAAAGTCGTGTTATGTCATATTTACATGGAAGCATTCAACTTTGTAGATTCAAATTTGTTCAAATGATGACCCCCGGAAGTAGGATGGAGGCCACAATGGAGGATCAAAGTTTTACATATATAAAGGAAAAAACTTTAAAAATCTTCTTCTCAAGAAAGCAATGCTATGATTAGTCATATTTATATGGAGGCATCCTCGGGTAGTGTAGATTCAAGTTTGTTTAATGATGACCCCCCCCCCCTCCCCCGAGGGCCACAATGGGGGATCAAAGTTTTACATAAGAATATAAAGGAAAAATCTTCTGATTAGTCATTTTGATATGGAAGCATCCTAAGGTAGTGTAGATTCAAGTTTGTTCAAATCATGACCCCCAGGGGTAAGATGTAGGCCACAATGGGGGATCACATTTTTTACATAATAATAAATAGGAAAAAACTTTAAAATATCTTTAAAAATCTTCTTCTCAAGAACAGCAAAGCCATTTGTTATATTGATCTGGAAGCGTACAAAAGTAGGGGGGATTCCCAACCCCTGGTTCCTATAGGTCTGGATCTATGACTCAGTACGGAATTCAAGAACAGGATTAGATTTTTTAGGAGGAGGAGAGGCATTTCCAGTGAAATAAAGCCCATGCAGCTTAAAGATAGCAGAGAGGGAGAAGGGGCGATCTGCATTCGTCCATCACGCACGGTATATCACAAGAGAGGTTGTTCTGTCTTGTATGGACTTTTGCCAGGTCATCGAGGATCCCCTTTCTTATATGGATGATTCCAAATTCATTTTTGGGATTTTTAATTTGCAATATAAATATTTAATAATGAAATCATAAGGAAAGGGACCCGGGATTCCTGACTCACCTTAGTTCACCTCCGGATCTGATCATGCTTTGCAGTTTTTCTTGAAAGCATTTTTCAGCTCAATTTTGAAGCCCTAATTCTTTTTGAAAACACCCCCCCCCCCATTCTAAAGTAGTTTCTCATAGATAATTCAGGATCCGCGCACTAGAAATGTTTGAAAATGACCATAGTCGACGTGATCGCTGTCATTTTTTTCCTTTACTTTACGAGTCTCTTTCCTATGACAATCACAAATGAATGCGCATTCGCCTGAAAACACGCACGTACATTGAAGTTATCGAAGTTAATGACTCATCTTTCACCTGATAAAAATTTGGAATTAACAGATTACAGAGGTAGACACACAGGTAAGTATATTCTATATTTTTAATGGTATAATTCTTTTCATAATGCAATTTTTAAATCAAATCAATTATTTTTTAAGAATATGCTTAAAATATTAGCAATGCTTTTTTTTTTTTGCCAAATTCTGAAGATGAATTTTTTGCTATATAGAATTGCTTCATTTGATAATCAAATTCTATAAATTTTCTTTTAAAAATTCAAGGCAATGTTTGATGTGACATATATTACATGCTTTTGAATATTTCCATGTTTTGACTTTTTTTTTGCTTGTTTGTTTTTGTATTGTTTTATTCTGTACGTTTGTGTGTATTTTTGTTTTTGTTTTTGTTTTCCCTCCATTATTATTCTTTTGATTGGAGCTCAAAATTAATATGCTTGAAATCAGAGTAATAAACAGTAAGTAGGATTTTTTAACGATCACATTTAAGATTTTAATAGCGATTCTCTGTAACCACTTAAACTTCTTTGCCACACATGGTCACCGATTTTGATGAAACTTTGCCCATTATTACAACTTGACACCAGAAACGTATATCAAATAAAATTTCGTTGCTATGTGTCTTGGTTGCCATGGTAACAGCCAGAAAAGTTGAAAAAATTGAGATTTTCAGCTACTTTAAATCTTTATTAAGTCTTAATAAAGACTAAGAAAAACAAACAAACCATTCTCCCCAAAACATGACACCTTGTTACCACTTATGCTATAAAGAAACTATTTAGAATTAATGTCTAAGTAAGTGGTAACCATGGGTACCACTGGCGGATTTAAGGGGGGGGCGTGGGGGGCGCACGCCCCCCCTAAAATTTTCAAAGTATGATATGACTAATATCAATAATGCCATACTTTGGTATATAACAAACCAATACCGCTATTTTTGTGCCTGGTTTTACTCTTAAAATACACGAAAACCCAGGAGCTTCCGGGGGCTTCGCCCCCTGGGCCCCCTCTATTCAAAGTACGATATGACTAGTATTAATAATGCCAAACTTTGGTACATATAAACTAACCAATACCCCTATTATTGTGCCTGGTTTTACTCTTAAAATACACGAAAACCCAGGAGCTTCCGGGGGCTTCGCCCCCTGGGCCCCCACCAGGGGGCCTTAAGGCGGCCCCCAGACCCCCTGCCTGAACAAAGTTATCCACGCCCCCCCTAATCACAAATCCTGTATCCGCCCATGGGTGCATTTGGAATACATTTTAGATGCTGAAAAATGCTGAAAAAACGCTCTATAGTCACAATTGATAGATGTTACATGATCAAACTCAATCATCAACGTAAGAAAAACAATGAAAAATATTTGACCTCATGTAATTAGGTATTGGCAATATTATTCTAAAAATAACTTTCATGGTTGCCATGGTAACACCGTGTCACCATGCAAAATCTGTTGCTATGATTGGGTTAATGCTACTGTCGTGAGGAAAAACAATAAAATTCATGACTGGCACATATGCATCCTTAGGACCTTGCAACACCGACAACATAAGAAAAATTGAGATTAATTGTTACTTTGCAGTGTAACCATGGAAACAATGTACTAGTTGTTTAAAGTGATTTTTTTTTCTGCTTTGGGTATTTACTAACCTTTTAATCAAGAAAAATATTATTTGAATCACCTTGAATAGTACTTATCTCGTAGAACTAATGTTGAATATCATATATTGATAAAGGTTATTGAAAAATACAACACTGTTGCTATGGTTACCAAGAAGAGAAAATGTTCGATTTTGTTAATTTTTTGTCAATATTAGACCCTATGTGCCAGCTTTTTGCATCCAGTTAGAGATTGGGTGATAGTCAAAATTGAAAGTCAGGTTAGTTGTTCACATATATCAATCATTAAAGTTTTGGGAATCTACATACAACGGTACGTATCCAAGGAAACAGAATATTTTTCAGATTTTTATGCAAAATTTTTCGGCTAATTTCCATAGCAACGCTCTATTTAAAGAATTGAATTTGAATTTTTTGAAATGTGAAAATTAGGGTCACACCAACGCCTTCAAAAATTGATCATCAGTTATATAGAAATATGCTTTTTAAAAAGGTAGGATAAGATTAAAACACTAAGAGAGTAAATTTAAAATCCCGTTGTGGTATTAAAACCATGGCAACCATTGCCAACCTATAAGAAATATCATATTTTGTCCTTGGTATATGTTACAAGGATCTCTTCTCTATTAATTGCTTGCATTTCAAGCTATAATTGTTTTTATTCTTCAGTGTATGACTTCATAAAATTAAATGAACAAAATTATTACTTTTGAATACTTTGTTTCCATAGTAACATATGTTATAGATGATTTACCAAACATGTTTATCATGCATTTAAGACACCAGGCCTTCAACTTTCAGAAACAGTCATTGCCACTTGTTTGCGTTGCTGCAAACGTTAACTGTGGGACTCTAAAGATGTTGAAAAATGCCATTTTTCAAACTTTAGGACATGTTGCTATGGTAACCATGACACGTAGCAACCAATTTTTGCCTGATTTGAGTATACAGTATCAAAGACTTTTATCATAGAGAGTTTGGAGAAATTCTGAGACTATGAGTGCCACAGCTCCTATATAAAAGTTAAAGTCATTACAGAGAATGGCTCTTAAAATGAACCATAACTTACATTAAAATTGATAATCGATGCCTGTTGAAGACATGTGATATTTGGTCAATTGTTGAGCAGTGTGTTCAATGTACTGTGCGAGGGTGAGTAAAGGATACCCAACCACCCCTCCCCTCATCGCAAATTCCCGTCACATCCTAATCAATTGTCTTTCTTTAATAAGTATGATTTGTTTTGTTTTGTTTTTTTTGTTTTTGTTTTTTTATAAATAATATTAGAGTCGAAAAAAAAAATCAGTTACGCTTTAAGATAATTTTTAATGCATAAAATTAATTATGCATGAGATGCATATTTTAAAGTTTTATTTAATTATACACTGTACTTGAATAATTATATATGTACCGTCTCTAATACATGTAAAAAAATATATATATATATTTCATTTATTGTTCTTTGAAAGACATACATTTTGTATGTCAGAATGTATTTTTTTTTATTTCAAACATTTTTCGTAAACAACTCTAACATCACAAACACTGGTCGGTCACCCACAGGGCGGATCCTGGAGGAGGGGGGGGGGGCACTAACTCCCTAATATTAAGAAATTTATTGATACATGTAATTGTATGGTATTTAAAATTAATTTTCGTCAACTTAAAAAATGTGAGTTTCCAAAGAAAAGATTGAAAGGCTCTAGAAAAGAGGTCGACCCCCCCCCCTTTTTTTTTTTGGTTTGTCAATTTATTTTAAGATGTCCCGGCACTCTCACTGCAAATGATTCTTTTGGATCCGCCCTGTGAGTTGTTTGTTTCATATTGCTATACTGAGTTATCTTTCTTTTTCCCCTAAAGAGGTCGCTCTAAAGTCACGTGAGGATAGAGATGACGTATGGAAGTAAATAGAACCAAAATATCAACAAAGTGTCGTGACAGCCTTGCAAAATAGTCTGAACTGCGCCATCAATTAAACATCCGGAAAATTCTAACAAATGGCCAGCATTTCGAAGCAAGAAGAATTTCAGGGTAGGTAGAAACAAATTTTGAGAGTTTCAGGCAAAAGGGAAACAAAACAGGTGCCCGCGTTTTCTATCGAGGTTTCGTTAACATTTCATTGTTTTTAGTCTGCGCAGCCATTTGTCAAAGTGGGTTAGCTAGGTCTATTATAGTCAGTTTATCAACTTTCTGGAATGTAGACAGTGTTCCTTTATTGTTTGGCTTGGAATTGGCATACGAATTCGGATAATCAGATTCGGATATATATAATATAATATATAATAAAGATTTTACTTGTTAAACACTTTTTATGTACAGATGAGAATATTCAAGTTTATGTTCGATTTTTAGTCAATGTTTGTATGCTCTGATATGAACAACACAGATTTGCTTGCTTAGTAAGTACAACTTCAAACATTTTCAAGCTGGAATAATTGCAAAATCAGCATTTCAGCTGTTAATTTAGAGAAGTAGGGTAAAGAAAATAAAAATGCTATTGCTACAAAATACTTTTAAGATAAAATGTGTACAGGATAGGGGTTGACTGAGGGTTCAGACAGTGAAGCAGATGAATGGGTGTAAGTCTCTCTATTCAGACATGCATACATATTGTATAATTGGTGGATACCATGTTATATAGGAATTTTAATGTACCACAGTTAGGCAAGTTTGGCCATGAGTTTAATTTACATGTATTCATTCATCCTTAACACCTCTCAACTAATAGATCTATAACTTTAATTTGATATTGCTTTGATGGTTATGTCACAAATTTTTCAGTATGTCTTATTACTGTATAGTTATTTTTTTTTTTTTTACATAAAGTGTATGGTTTTGGACAAAAGTGATAAAATCAGAAGGCAGAGATGCTTTCCTAATTTGTACATAGATACATGTAGTTTATAGAGCTATAAAGGTGGAACTGGCACTTTGTGCCACAGGCATCAAGCTCGCTTGAAAATTTGTGCAAGTCACTAAGCTTACTTAGATAATGAATGCAGGGTTGTTCCTAAGAATTGAAATAGCAGGGAAATTTTAAAAAAGTAGACGGGGGTTTAGGATTCTGCCCTTAACAGGGGTTAAGGGTGAATACCAGAATAACCAGGGAATTACATCATTATAGGTGGGGAAATTCCCTGGCCCCTGGGTCTTAGGGACAACCCTGTGAATGTATCAAATCTTCTTTTCCATAAAGTTTGGATATGACATATCAATATAAAATCCATCTGAAGCTAAATAATATATGCCTGTGCTTTTCTGGACTTTCTGTCTTAAATCAGAAGTATGATTGAGGGCTAATGGGAGGACTCAATGTTGTGTAGCCATAAAATGTATTTTTCACCAATCTCAGCTTTAATTCGTATCATCATAAATGTGAAGGAGTAAAGTGAGAATGAAAATATAAATTATGACCACAATATTTTGAACCCTTAGCAGGGTTGTCCCTAAGACCCGGAGGCCGGGAAATTTCCCCGCCTATGTACTCTGGTATTTCTCCTGACCCCCTGTTAAGGGAGAAACATCAAACACCTTCTACTTTTTTAATGTCCCCTGCTATTTTAATTCTTAGGGACAACCCTGCTTGGGTTCAGGAGATTTTGGAGCTTAATATTTTGTACAGTAGTAATTAATATTTAGATCCTCAGGGTTCATTTAGCATCACACCTGGGTCATAATAATTGTGACACCTCGCAGCTGCATTCAAGTCATTATGTTAAACATGTTAAAAAAATTCTTTACTGGAGGCACTGAGGAATATGTGACCTACTGCTAGATTCCTTTGCCAGATGAAGTCAACTGACTGACAATTGTTACTGTAGATCTTGGCTTTCTCAAGGCCAAGCTGAGGTGAAGGTTAATTGCTATACATGCTTGAAGGTTTCTGTATTGTCTGTGGCATGAAACAAATTGAATACATGTATATATGCATGGTATAGTTTTCTTATGCATGCATACATTGCACAGAAAACATAAATGACTTGTACATTTATGTAGGAAGGTATATTATCATGATGAAGCAATTGATACAAAAAACAATATAAAATGTGTACTGCTTTAGTCTTCAGAAAAGTTTTTGGTATTCATTAATAGATGAGAAATAATAAATTTTATTTTACATGTAGTAAGTCAGTGTCTTCATTTGAAAGCTGTAACTGGATACCCTTAATAATGACTATATTTCTGGCGCTGTTTATTTTTCAGTGCCAATAAAATTTGAAAGTATTTGAATTATTTCATTCAGTTCACATGATATAATTGTAAAGGTATTATACATATGCTTGCAACTATCAGTTACATGTGCTTCAGTTGGTATTTCTGAGATCCATCATGTATAAATAATTTTATACTACTAAAGCAGGTAACTGTCATTAAACTTGGTTAAAAGGAAGTCACACAGGGACCTCAAATTTTTAACTGAGATTTCCTTTTAATCAAGTTTTTTTTTATAGCCAAGTATTACTGTATTAACCATTTATCTTATACAGTGTATCGTGCACATGCATTTTTGTTTTTCACACACATTTTGACTCCGTAAATTAAATTGTACATTATATGTATATTCATTCATAATTAAGTGTATATTTAATGTCAGTATGTCACACAATTACGTACTTCACAGGCCATATCTTGTAAACAATCAATAGCTCATGTTCAAAGGAAATAAATTGCAGAACTGAAGTATTATGTGTTTGACAGGATGCAACCTCTTTATCTTTTATAGTTGCACAATATCATTGTGTGTAAACTTAGATTTACTTCACTCACTGCATTGTCTAAGTGACTTAAATTTGCCTTAAGATGGAACAGTAAACCATACGATAAATAGTTCTTGGCACATGTGCATTGATAGCATACCAGAAATAGCATGTTAAATAATGTCATTGAATCCTCGACATGCTCTGACTGCAGATGTGCATGTCTGTGTGAATTATTATAAGGCTACATGTGTTAGTCTGGTCACACATAATATACATTCAATATCTGACAAATCGGTGTGCACACAAGGTGCACAAGCATTTGGTGCACAAATTTAACAATACACTTGCTAGCTGTCTTTCTATATATTTTGGATAAGGCTCTGTGTCTTTCAAATGATTTATCATCAATGAATTGAAACTGTATATGGATGTTGATGACTTGATGTAGCAGATTACTGCAAAATGAATCTATATGTTAAATTTGTTCATATTGAAAAAGTATTTTTTAAAAAGCAATATGAGCTTCAACTTTGATGTCGAAATTTTTAGTTGCAATAATATAATAAGTTCAATGACAGAAAAAAAGAATGTTTATAAATTTCTATTGTTTTTGGGTTTAATTGATCATAAAGGTTTCATTTACATACAGATTTATCATAACAGCACATTTTAACAGCAAAATAAAATTCTCAAAAATGCTTCCCATATTGCGTTAAATGTCCTGGAATAAATATGAAATTATTAAATCTTTCATATATAATATATAATTTGAGGTGCCCATAACCTTAGTATGATTACTGCCATAATTTTGCATTAAGGGTTTATGAAACATATACTTAATATCAACTGGTAATTATTAGTTCCTCCATCATGTCCATGGATATGTAAAAAAAGGAAAGAATTAACAGAGAATTGTACTGTGAATTTTTCCAAGTACTGGACCAGGTACATAATTTGTAATAATGATTATTATCAATTACCAAATTTAAGTAAGTAATTAACAATCCGGTACCTGAGTATTTTAAGAGGTGTTCAACTGACTTTCATGATAAATTCATGTTCAGATATTAGAAAGGTACATGTATGTATAAATAGGACACTTATGAAAGTATATAATCCAGGTCATGACGAATACATTACATAGGCGTTCACCAGTGGCTATCTCATGACCCACATACCTGAGTTTTTTTATGCCTCACCTGGTCCTTATATATAGCTTAGGAGAAACGGAGAGGGGAAACCTAAAGAAATATTATGCCTAATGTGATAATCAGGTTTGTTAAAGCGTAATTAGCTTTTAAAGGCATGAATACTTGTAAACTCTATCAAAAAAAAAAATGAACATTTAAAACTTTGTTATTAACTTAATAAATGCCTTTAATTCATTAGAGGTATATCATTTTGAATTGAAATTTGGCATGTGAAATCGTCCACATGCTCTTAATTGATATTAAAGTTCATGCAGTTGCAAAATTAACTTAAGAAATTTAAAGAACAATTAGTTTTAATCATATTAACAGAAGCATTAATGTACACCAACTACCAGCTAGTATTTCATGTTTCTAATAGGTTGCATGCATGCAGAAAATGGAATAATGATCACATGTAAACAAAACACAAAAAAGTCTTATCAATTGAAGTATTTACCCATTAATTTACTGTCAGCATGTGCAATTTGGAATATTTTTTATGATTAAACTAGAAAAAGAGAATTAATTCTGTTACGTGCGGTAATAATTCCTTGATCTTGTGATATATATTAATTTCATATAATCTTCAGAAAATTTGTCAAGGTCTTCAATTTTGTGGATAGATGTACATGAATTAGTATAATTAACATTAAGCAATCAGTTATGATGAGCCTTATATGTGTTAACAATCATTGCAGATTCTTGGGTGGACCTGGAATCCAGTGGTCAGTCCACAGAAGCAATGACTTCCATCCATAATGGAAACTCGGAGGTGGAGAAGCTCTTGATAGAGGCTCAGAAGGAATCTCGAAGTCCCTCCCGAGCCAACAGCAAGGAGTCCTCAGCAAGAGGAAGGTAAGTATTAGCATCACCCTCCCACAATCAGAACTCTAATAAGACACACAACTAGCCAGTTATTGTATTTCTCTCACTAATAGAACTCTAACAAGACACAGGACTGGCCAGTTTTTGTAACCCTCCCACAATTAGAACTCTAAAAAGACCACGACTGTGGCCAGTTATCATCACCTTTTCACAATTATAACTGTACTATTAAACACAGGACTGTGGCCATTGTATTTCAAGACAGTTGAAATGCATACTCTCATGGTAATATTGATAGTGATAACTAAGCACACATTCTTAAGTTATTAAAATAACAGTTTCATTCAAGCTTTTTAACTGTAACTCAAAGTGAGGATAAAGTTAAAGTTTTCATCCATATCATTATGGATTTGGTTTAATATGAAAGACAGGATATTTTGATGTAATGACTCTAACTGATTATCATTTCTTCTCTGTAGCCCAAAGAGTCCACACAGTCCAAACAATGAACTTCAGGAGACCAGAGACCCTGGAACAGAGTGGATTTGGGACTGGTCAAGTCGGCCAGAGGCCAATCCTCCTATGTAAGTAAAACTGAGCTAGGCCAATCCTCTTAAGTAAGTACAGTGGAGCTAGGCCAATCCTCTTATGTAAGTACAGTTTAGCTAGGGCAATCCTCCTATGTAAGTACAGTTGAGCTAGGGCAATCCTCCTATGTAAGTAAAGTTGAGCAAGGGCAATTCTCCTATGTAAGTACAGTTGAGCTAGGGGCAATCCTCCTATGTAAGTAAAGTTGAGCTAGACCAATCCTCCTATGTAAGTACAGTAGAGCTGTGCTGAATTCCATCTAGTAACTTAACATGTGCATGTTAACGTTGATCCTGAAATTTTTTCAAATTTGATTTCATGAACCCTTGGAATCAGGCAACCGTAAAGTTTTCATAAAATCCCACTAAATTTGAGGTGACAAAATTTTAGTGTAGTATTGGTTGTCTACGAAAAATGCCTATTCTTGATATATAAAGTGCAATCTTATATGCTATATACAGATAGTGGTCAAGTCTTTCTTAGGCCTACCCTCCGATCATGAAAGCAAACTTATTATCATTTTAAAAATGATGTGTTTATTGACAAAGGTGTTGATTTCAACGGTCACCTTCTAAGACATGCACTTAGAAGGTGACAGTTATCTAATCAGGATGTGTATTCCAAAATCTTGCCTAATATGATGTTAACTTTTAGTCTCTTTCATTCCATTGTTTGAAATGTTATCTAATCCAAAATGTTGTCTAATCGTGCCAAATCCTATGGGCACTAGCAGTGTCCAGATTGTACAAGTTTTAATGTATTATTGCAGAATACCCATTGTGTTTCCTTTTATTGTAGAGAATGGAAGGAGAGATTTAAGCGGCCAGCTACCAGTGTTAGGAATACACGTGTAATGAAGACCACTTTCTTCTCCTGGGAAAACTTGCCATATATTGTATGCAGTTCTACTATAGCCTTTATAAGTGGAGCCGCCATGTAAGTGCTTCTTATTCAGAGGCTCTTTGTAAGCAATTCAAATGACTTTGTAATGGTTTCTGATATTAAAAAACAGAGGATTGAGAAAACCATGGGGTTTGACTGTACCTGAAATCTATACTTATAATTTGATTGTTTAAAATAATAACAATCTGCATGGTTTATTAATCGAGAATTCTATAATTTGTTCTTCTAATTTAAAGCAATATGAGCTGCAACTTCGATGTCGGAAATTTTTGTTGCAAATTTATAATTTACACTATTTCAATGACAGGAAAAAAGGACATTTGTAAACTTCTGTTGTTCATATTTGCGGTGGAAGAAATATTTTGAAGCTTTGGTTGAAGCAGAATTACGTTATTGTCGTCCCGTGCAAAATTGATTCCTTATATAATACATGTACCAGATATTCGATTGGTACAGAAATCTTTCTTATCAAACAATTTATTTAATACTTTATTTATGTCAAATTGATCAAAAAAAATTCAAATTACATAAAAAATTATCAAAACAGCACATTTTAACAGCAAAACTAAATTCTCAAAAATGCAGCTCATATTGCTTTAATGTAATAATTCAGATTTTTTTTTACTTTTACCAGACATTTATGAATGTTTTGTCTCCTTGTTTTTTTTAAGGATGTTTCTAATAATGAGAAGACTGGGCAATAACAAATTAACCATCTAGACAGTCTTCAACATGAATTCAAGGTCTGCCGCTGACATGAAAGACCACAGACAGTCCTCAAATAGACACACACACAAAGTGAAAAATTCTTAATATTGAGAGAGAGCTTTGTCTGTTTCACATTTAGGGATGATCTGCTTGCATAATTATATGCAAGATATTTGTTTTTTTTCATTTACTTCTCATAAATAACAAATTACATGTAGGTTTATATATTAAGGTTTTTTTGTGTGAAATGCATAACCCATACACAGTCTTTTTGAGAAACCTGCATTTGAGTTGGTGAATGCACACATTTTGCTAAGTGACTCTTTTTGACTTTCTACAGCTCAAATAAACCATATTTTTCAAGTTTGAACATCAAGAGTTAAATATTTTGGTAATACTTTTTCAAAGAAAAATTTATCAGTATGACATTTGTTATGAAATTTTAAAAGCAAAATGCCCTGAACACAATCTTTGAATCATATGTATACATTGGATTATTATACATCCTAAATTGTACAACTTTACCGTCCATATTTTGTTGAGAACCTAACAGTATATATTATGTGCATTCTCTAATCTTACAACTTACAATGAATATTATTTATATGTTGAATTTAAGAAAAAAAACACACACCTGCATTTATTTTTTCTACCATTTTAATCAAATTCTTTTAAGAAATACCTATAAATGCACAAATTATTTTATTCAAAATGATGTGTCTGACTATTTGATCAGATTTTACTAAAACCTTTAGATATATAAATCATTTTGGGTAGGCAAGCAGAAATTGATTTTTTTTAATTTCTAATTTCAAGTTTGTGTAAAGAAGTTGTATGTTGGTATGCGGAGTGTTGAATGACCTTGATAATTTACATTTGTTAAACATATTTAAGGGACAGAATTTCCCGTTATGGTGAAATTTTGCATTATCCTTTTCTACCATTGATTGTAGTAACACAATTCGTAAGTTTCATTTATGCCCCCCTCCCCTCTTAATAAAAATGTGTGTAGATTTCTACAGCTTTTTGTAGACACTTTTAGTGTTTCATGTACCAATATTTATTCTTTTATTTATTGATTTTCAAGAAAGTTGTCTCAAACTTTGGGATCCTCCCCATACAAATTAAAATGATTTGGATCCATGTATAGACAGTATAGTGCTCTAGTTGCATAATGGGATCTTCTCATTTGAATATTCATGAGATTCAGAGACTCTCTTGTCATAACGTATCATCATTGTGCTTCTTTCTTCCAGCAATTATATATTGTAGTTGGTATCCATTTATTGTAGTGTTTTAAGTTATGTCCAAATACATGGCAGGGAAACAAAATTATAAATAACTAAATCTATCATTATAAGTAAAAGTAAAAAATGGTAAACTTTCTACATTGTAAAGATTTTAACCACATGAAAATAAATTTTGAAACAGACTACCCTGCATTTTAACAGGAAATTTGGATATAGCTTATTAAATGTAGGAAATATGTATGTTTTCTGCGATATTAATTGTACTTTTAGTTTATACTAGATTTTGCATCAAAATACTGATTTTTTTGTGGCCTTATAGTATTTTGGAAGGTATCAGGTAGTGAAATAACACATGACAAATGTACTCATTTTTTAAATTTCTGAAGTGTTTTTAAATTATCCATAGACTTACAACTTAATATAGTGCTATTTTTTCATTTTAGTTTAAAAAAAAAAGTCTTTAAAATGTGCTGGCAACTTTAATTTTAATGTATTAATAATTGAAATAATTATTACAGTTGTACTTCAAGTGCATTATATATGCGTTACAGATTTAATTAGTTTGTGCAGAATATGTGCACTGAGTACACCGTATAGCATATAATAGCTTAATTTGCATTATTCGTTTCATTTTGATAGATGTTATCTTTAACTACTAAGGACTCAATTATCCATATTCCAGTTTCTACGCACAATTCATTTCAAAAGTTGTGTATTTGATCACATGCTAATTTTGCAACGATAATAAACTTAATTCTGTGGGTTGATTGAATACATATACATATACTAGTATCTACATGTATATGACATGTAGATAATCCATGTACCTTATAACACTAGTTCACTTTTTTTTTTTTAAAAAAAGGATGTTACATACATAAACTGTAAGATCTGATTTTTTTCTTTGCCAATTTGAAGATAGTATTCAAGGAATTAAGCATTTAATATTCATTGAAAAGTATGGTGTGTGCCTCAACATTTTTAAGATTTACAAAACAAAGTAAAACTGGAAACCAACACCTTAAGGTTAAAAATGCGGAAGATTCCCACGTGTGGATACCAAACAGATTTTTTAAGATTTGGTAAATCATGCTAAGTGTACATAGATGTATAACATACCTGAACCTTTGATGGTCTCTCACCCATTTTATAAGAAAACAGCTGGTCATTTGCCTTAATATTCACAACTAAATACATGTAGGAGTTTTGTCAGCATTAGTATTGTTGAGGAGAGTTTATGAAGAGTTATCTCATTGAAGAATGCCTTTGAATGTTGATTGTTGAGTGATGTTATGTGCAGTGTTATATTACTGTAAAATGTTACAGTTTTTATTTATGTTCATTTTGCAAGGATAATTTTTGCACATTTTTTGTGTAATTTTTTTATGCAGATGGAGGTACACATAATTGTTATAGACAGGACAATTTTCTTGATTCTGGTTACTGATAATGTTTATGAATTGTCTCTCCTTTAAATGTAACTAATTTCTGATCTTTGCACATGTAAACATTATTTTTTGGGGAAAAAAAAACAACTACTCCTTCACATTTAACAAAAGTTTTGAGGTTGTTAAGAAAAAGCTCACCAGTTTGTTTATGAAATAGAGTATTAATTCTAGAACTAATCTGTTCTGGATATTTTTTATTGTAACTGAGTCCATTCATAATTAGGAGTTAAATTTTCATGCGCTTATTTTTCCTTTAGCACATAAAAGTGTATTTTGAATATGCACGAGTATTTAGTGTGTCTTCAGCAACTACTGTATATAGAAGTCTTTATTTAAAATTTCATAAGCTGTTTCCTCTTATTTTGCAGTTTTATTTTAAGGGGATAAGTTTGGTGAATATTTACTCTGCATATTAAATTTTCCCCCCTGTACAGTATTTTAGAATGACAAACACCAAACTATGTAGTTGCATTAACAATTCATGAGTATTTTGGACCACTGACATTGTAACATTTGGACATTCCAGTGTGTTGGTAGTAGACTAGGACTGGTTTTGTTATTAAATGTAATTTTTGAAGGTCAAGAAGTGTTAATAAAGTAAGGTTCAAAAATGTTGTAACATCCGGTGTTTCACAGAAAAGTTCATGCTTACAATCCAAAATACATATAATGAATAACAATCTACATTGAGTTTCCTAGTCATTTCTTCAATCAAATTTTTAGTTTTAGCATGTATATACACATGTATATAAATGAAACCAATAGTACATGTAAACTTCATTAGACACTTATCTTTCTGTCAGGGCATACCAAGAACTTGTGCTGTACATGCTGATATTGTTTGTTATAATTTTTATGCTACTTCATGAAAAAAAAATGGTAAGATTCTTTAGGAAACAAAATTTTCACATTGTAAAGTTTAGTATAAAGCTAGAATTTATTTTATCATAATGAAGATAATGATTGATCTTGATTATTTTTTATTTCTCAACAAAACTGGCATATGTATCAATATTTATGGTAGTTAGCAGTTATTCATTTGTGTTTGACAGTCTTTACGCAAGAGAACAACGAAAAAGTCAAAATCTTAAGGAAAAAAGTTGCAGGATTTGCTGCTTATGTCAGTATTTAAGTTTTTTTCAAGTAGTATTTAAGTTCTGGTAAATTTATATTTCATATGCATATGACATAGCTCAAATTCCTGTATCCCTGCTTTTATATGTGAATATTTATCTGCTTTTGGAAAATTTATTTCTTATTTGATCTGTGCAAAATTACAAATTGATCATGTTCAGTATTTAGTGCAATTACATTAAAATGGATTTGGTGTATCGTAATCGGTGTTTTCTCATTCATTTAAGAACAAACCATGATTGTTTGGTTGTGTGCTAGAAAAGGATGTAGTTGGAATATGAAACATTTAAAAAATACTTCCAGAGCAATTAATTAATGATATAGTTCATAATTGGACTGACACAGTGCAGTTAAGAAAATTGCTTATAACGTCTCGTGTAGCAATTAAGAAGGATCAACTTTAAAATGTCTGTAATGAGACTTGAATTCAAAACATATTTATACTCCTCAGGAGGTGTAAATGTACCAGGATTGATGTCTGTAATGCCAAGGGGTCACAAGACATTAAGGAGACAATAGTTTCTTATAACCATGCAGGACAGTTTCACCTTTGACCTTGATATAAATAAGAAATGTAAGTACAAGTGCATCAAATTTGAAGGCTTTCAAGCAGAGTACTCAAGATACTTAGCTGACATCTTCTTAATCCTATATTCAAGGAAAATTAACCCTTGACCAATGACCTTAGAGTATCAGGTATGGAGTTTGATATATGTCGAGCAAAGGGAATTCTTAAAATCAAGCGGACAATGCCCTCCTATGTCCATTGTAGTTTGATTCTTGATGGAATGACCTCAATATCAATCCGGGTTATCTAGCCCTTAGGGGGTACCAGATGAGTGTCCCAAGTTTGATGTCGTTCAAGCAAAGTGTTCTCGATACTGATTGGACAACTCTTGGTCTACCAACCAGTGCAAAGCAATAACCCCCATCCCCCTCCTCCCACTTTTTTTCCCCCAAAAGTGGTCATAAAAATTGGAAAATCCTTAAAAATCAATTTATCAAACACGTATAAAGTCACTGATTATTAGTGACCTAAAACAACTACATGATGAAATAAATTACAATTATCAGACACATTCATTTGCCAAACTAAACTGATTTAATAAAATATCTGATTAACAAATTCATTTAATTTACATATTCATAAAACAGTCAAAAATGATATAAGTCAAAAATGTCCAATATTTACATAAGATGATATAAAAGCAAAACAAGCATCAACTGGTACAGGTACAGATGATGATATCTATATAAACAGCTTACACAGTCAAAAGCCTGGTAAGCCAGGCAATTATGATCTTTGGTTTGCAAAGGTTAAATCTGGGAACTTTAAAGAAGATTTAAGAGGATCAATTCCATGTACTAGCTGGAAAATGTTAGTTCTATTTGATATGGGCTTTGTTATTTACACTTGAGAGCCATTTCAGAAAGTATATAATTATATACCAGTTAAGGACATCTTCAATTATAAAAACAAACATCACAGAAAAATTGCATTCCATCCTTGTATACTACATAAATTTTCAATCTGGTCTGAACTTTGTCTTGAATAAAACAAATAATCTTGACCAGAGATCAATGCTTGTTAAACATATGCCCCTGCTAGGATAAACAATCACTTCCATGCATCAAAACCTCCTTTCCTACAAAAGAAAAGACCAATAAAATGTCAAAATCTCATTTACAATGGGTTAAATTTTTCTCCCATTTTTTAACCCCAAAATAGAGTTTTAGTCAGTTCATATATTAATTTTAATTCCAAAAATCACTTCTACTAATTTGACCCCCCCCCCCCCAAAAAAAAAATTGTCAGGGATGAAGTCACAAGTCTGACTGGAACAAGACTACTTCTCAAAATTGGTAATTTCCTCTCATATGAACCCTCCCCCCCCCCCCCCCTCCTTTATCAAAATCAAGATGTACATTCATGACTACATAGTTACGTAGATTTTAGTCCTGTGAGAAAAGAATATCTACTTAAGGTACAGAGGAAGCCAATGCTTTATGCCACAGTCATTTTATGACCTGAGGACATTACAACAACCCTTCAAATCTATTTACTGTGGAATCATTTTAATTTGTGAGGGTCAAAGTTCATGGGTAACCAAATTTTTACCTGCTCATGGGCGGGAGGTAATTTCATGGGTAACTCGTATTTACACAGGATTCAATAAAATGATACATGTACTATATATGACAAAGTTCATTTGTGTGGATATAAATTCATGGGTAAGGGTTACTCATGAGCAATGACGATTCCACAGTACACAGATACATTATAATAATAACCATTAAATATCAACATTTCCTTTAAGAATATTACTGTAACATACATTCTTTACCATCCCATGATCTTTTAATTAAAGCTAACACAAGTAAACAGCAAATATGAATATTTTTAAGGGGTCTTCTTTGCTTTGGTTTGATCATGTTCCTTTCATTGCAACAAATTAAAAATGTGTAACATATGAAACAGGTAGATCAATACATCAATCGTGAATAAAAAAAATAAACTGGATCTAATATAGCATACCTGCTACAAGTACAAAAATGAGCATATTATATTAGACAAAACATGGTACATGTTTAATGACCCTGCATCGGTATGTCTTAAATTAAATTAATAAAATTTATGTGTTTAAGAAGATATTATGAATGCCAAGTCAATGTCTGACTCCCCCCCCCCCCCCCCCCCCAAAAAAAAAGTTTATAAAATTAATGGTATTTATAAATGAATTTGGTGCATGAAATATGTTCACCGTACAAATTCTAATACTCTGATTAATGGGAAAAAAAATCAACATCATTTACCAACAATAAAGAGTGACAAAGATTATATAAGCATGCTCATATCTGGACATCTTCCACACTGGATTGACTTTTACCTAATTATATTGTATCAGATTAAAAATTTTTGAAATTTTTATTGTCTTTGATAGATGTAATCATTAATTGTTCTTGGGGTGGATAAAAATTAATGACATATAGGAAATTCATTGAGGGAGTTTCCTATATAAATAATCCAATAGGTGAACACAAAACATTAGCAATTGTTATACCTTTAAAAGTTGCTTCCTATATAATTCTATACTAAAAAAAAGTCTAACATTTCCAATGTTTTACTGAGCGGTCATAAAAAAAATCGATGTTTGACTGCAGAGCGAGATATTGAACCTGTCATGAGATGTTGGACCGCTTACGTCACATTGTGGGCGGGGTCAGCTGTATCTTATTTGCATTCGTTGGAGTTTGACAGAACTTTACAGAATTGACCAAGTTTAGACCGCAGTGCGGGTAAACAAAATTTACATCATGTTATGTCAAAATAAAAATCAAAAGGTATAACAAAACATTTATTGACTTTGTTCTCGGGCAAAATGCGTTTTATTGACCTCTCGAACCAAACTGTTTGCCTTCGGCCTAATGGCCTCAGGCAAACAGTTTGGTTCTTGGGTCCAACAAAACACACGTTGCCCTCGAACCCAGTCAATATATGTATTATATTAGACTGAGGCCAAAAAAAATAATAGTCTTGTTTCCTGCTACCAGCCTGAAAAAAATAGGGTAGGTAGGTAGGAAAATTATTTTATATTATATTATTTTATTTTATTTTTTTCCAACAGTATTTTTTGGTATGAACCAATACAAAACCAAATTAAACATGTCATATGTCAATATTATCTTTTAAAATTAAATTTCATGTCTTTTGATGAACAACTTAATTAGTGGTATTTTATGAAAGTCCATATTTAAAATAGAGAATTTCATGAAATACCACTTGAATATTATATTTTTTTCAGTTTTGGAACATGAAATTCCTGCAATTCCCGATTTTTTGTTTCCAAAACTAAACATAAAAAACTTTAGGGTCAGGTGCAAAAAAATAGGGTCGGTCGGGTAGCAGGAAACAAGACTGTTATTTTTTTTGGCCTGAGTTAATAATCAGAGCAGGTTATAAAGTATTGGGTCAGGATGGTTCAAGGTCAAAATCATATTCCAAATTAATCTGCTGGAGTTAAATTTCTTCTGTATACTATAAGAATGGACTTTTAATATACACAAGGTCATACCAAACAATAGACAAAATGACACAATTTTTTTCCCCCAAGATGTCAAATTTATAATCTTATTATTAATAAGATTGCTTCATGTTTTTAGAATGCTGAGACATCTAAAAAATTTAATAGGGACTGGAAAGAGTTATAAACACTACTCCTACATGTATCTATATCTGGATGCTGAGCTTGAATGTAAAACTTCAGTTTGAAAGCAATCCTGTAAGTTATGAGGGCAAAATTAAAGCTTATCAATTCCTTATTACACAAAACTTATCAATCCCTTATTACACAAAGCTTGAATCCCTTATTACATGAAGCTTATCAATCCCTTATTACACAAAGCTTATCGATCCCTTATTACACAAAGCTTATCAATCCCTTATTACACAAAGCTTATCAATCCCTTAATAAACAATTAAAGTTTATCGATCCCTATAACACAAAGTTTATGGATCCCTTAATGCACAAAGTTCATCAATGATATCTCTTAATACACAATCTCAATGTTATTAAAAAATACAAGGTGTCGAGGGGAATCAAATACAAAAAACACAAAATAAAGCGATTTAAATTAAAAAAAAATAATAATAATAATACAAAAATATTTTAAAATGTGGAGGAAATATATTACAGAAATTAGAAGGATAATACAATTTGAAAAGCATGGATATTATAAGTACATGACTATATATGTATATAGCAAAAAAAGTACAGCAACAGTCCACATTCAAACAGAATATTAATTCATAAATATATTTAAAAAATACATATAAATGTGTCTATAACTAATATATCTATTAAACGCTTAATATAAAACAAAAAGAAAAAAAAAATGACAGATCAAAAATATTTCATGGAAAGTCAGTCACTGTGTCTTGTGCATAGATAAAAAAAGTTTGAAATTATCACAAATCTTGCCCTAGGCCAAAAAAATATGTACACTGTGTAGGATAAAAATATTAATTACACTATGTGTAAAGTCATTCTTAATTTATGATGGGTCTATCATTTCTATTGAAATGCGTAATTTGTATAAATATTGTCTGTTTGGAGTTCACTGGTATTATTAACATAAAGTTCAGTGGGGTCATTAGCAGAATCGGGATTCAGGATTTGATCGAATTTGTCGCCAATCTCTGAGACTTTCAAGCGATGGCTACTTTGTTTATCCCAGCAACGCATCATGACTTCATCATATCTGAAATTTAATATCAAGTATAATTTACTTCTAACCTTTTGCATCAATTATTGAACATCTTATTAATACTTAGAAAAATGTTCCTTTCAATAACTTTGTACATGTACATATGATTATTGTATGCAATTCAAATGACTTTGTAATGTTTTGTAATACATGTATAAGAAAACAGAGGGTTGAAAAACATGGGGTATTATGATACATGTATAGTAAATGCATTTACCAAAAAATATTGCCTTCCTGCAAACATTTGCTGCAAGTCTGCAGCAAACATTGCTGCAAACTTGCTGCAAGCTTGCTGCAATGAAGCTCAAGAAACCAATAAAAAAAATCTAAAAAAAATTTAAAAATTTTTTAGATAAAATTCAACACCCAACAGCAATTCTAGAAGTGTACATATGTGTACCTAGATGCAACATCATGTAACTTTGGTCCAGGTAAAGCTAATAATTACTTGGAAATGGACCTGCTCAAAAATGTAGATCAGATCCAGCATCTGAAGCAAGTCTGGTTGTGTGCATCCTAGGATGCATTATTCATTAAAAAAAAATGGTTCAGGCAGGTCTTATAGCTACTAGGGAATGGACCTGCTCCAAAATGTTTTGCATATTCAGTTATCCTGAACAAATAGGTCAGATCCAGCATCTGAAGCAATTCTGGTAGTGTATATCCCTTTACGCATCATCCATGCAAGTGTGGTCCACAAATGGCTTATGTATAGTTACTTGGGAATAGACTTGCCCCAGAAACTTTGACCTGTTCACTCATCTGGAAAATGTAGGTCAGATCCAGAATCAGAAGCGTGTCTACTACTATGCATTCCTATATGTAGGTGCATCATCCGTGCGAGTTTGGACACTAAAGGACTTACTTGGGAATGGATCTGCTTCTAAAACCTAAATCTGGCCACTCATCCAGAAAATAAAGGTCATATCCAGCATCTGAAGCAATTCTGGTAGTGTGTATCTCTAGGTGCATCATCCATGCAAGTTTGGTCCAGATTGGGCTTATAATTACTTGGGAATAACTTCCTTATAAACATTAACCGGGATGCCAAAGCATAAGCTGATGTCAGGGGTGTGCTAAAAAAATAAGATGTGTTTGTGAAACACTGATGCTCATGAATGGTAGCTCATCACCATGACAACAGTCTCACAAAAGTAGTCAAACACCAAGATCTTGAAGAGGTTCAAAATATTGTATCCAATGAAAGTTCTTGTCATATAGAATACACGTGTGAAATATGAAAGCCCTTACACCAACCATTCAGAAGTTATAGCCAAAGAAAGTAGATCAAACTCCAAGGCCAAGAGGCGAAGAAATGTTGATGCTCTAAGACAGGACTTGTCTCAAGGAATACACATATGAAGAAGGAATCCCTAGCAACAATTTGAAAGTTATGGCTAAGGTAAAAGTCTTCAAAAGTAGGTCAAACTCCAAGGTCATGAGGTCAAAAATTTTGATACCTTATGTCACAAGAATACATCTGGTTAAGGAATATCTTTGGTTAAAGATTTTTGGTTGAAGTTTTTTAAAAGTAGGTCAAACTCCAAAGTCAAGGTCACAGGGTCAAAAATGTTGGTACCTAAAAAAGGTCTTGTCACAAGGATTAAACATGTAAAATATGAAAGCCATATATGAACCATTCAAAGTTATAGCCAAAATGCAAGTTTTTTACAGACTGACATACAGACAAAAACTATTTGCCCCTCAATCGTGTCAATCTTTGATTACATTGGCATAACAATTAACAAGAGGCCCATGGGCCACATCGCTCACCTGAGTAACTTTGGCCATGCTGTTCATTACCAGACTTCCCCCCTTGTAATACTTATTGTGGCCCCGCCCTACCCCCACAATTTAGAATCTACACTACCCCAGGATGCTTCCACATAAGTTTCAGTTTTTCTGGTCCAGTGGTTCTTGAGAAGATTTTTAAAGATTTTTCCTATATATTTCAATGTTTCCCTATTGTGGCCCCGCCCTACCCCCCGGGGTCATGATTTGAACAATTTAGAATCTACACTACCCCAGGATGCTTCCACATAAGTTTCAGCTTTTCTGGCTCAGTGGTTCTTGAGAAGAAGATTTTTAAAGATTCTTTCTATATATTTCAATGTAAAACTTGGATTCCCTATTGTGGCCCCGCCCTACCCCCGGGGGTCATGATTTTAACAATTTAGAATCTACACTACCCCAGGATGCTTCCACATAAGTTTCAGCTTTTCTGGCTCAGTGGTTCTTGAGAAGAAGATTTTTAAAGATTTTTCCTATATATTTCAATGTAAAACTTGGATTCCCTATTGTGGCCCCGCCCTACCCCCGGGGGTCATGATTTTAACAATTTAGAATCTACACTATCCTAGGATGCTTCTACATAAGTTTCAGATTTTCTGGCTCAGTGGTTCTTGAGAAGAAGATTTTTAAAGATTTTTCCTATATATTTCAATGTAAAACTTGGATTCCCTATTGTGGCCCCGCCCTACCCCCGGGGGTCATGATTTTAACAATTTAGAATCTAGACTACCCCAGGATGCTTCCACATAAGTTTCAGCTTTTCTGGCTCAGTGGTTCTTGAGAAGAAGATTTTTAAAGATTTTTCCTATATTTTTCAATGTAAAACTTGGATTCCCTATTGTGGCCCCGCCCTACCCCCGGGGGTCATGATTTTAACAATTTAGAATCTACACTATCCCAGGATGCTTCTACATAAGTTTCAGCTTTTCTGGCTCAGTGGTTCTTAAGGGAGAAGATTTTTAAAGATTTTTACTATATATTTCAATGTAAAACTTGGATTCCCTATTGTGGCCCCGCCCTACCCCCGGGGGTCATGATTTTAACAATTTAGAATCTACACTATCCCAGGATGCTTCCACATAAGTTTCAGCTTTTCTGGCCCAGTGGTTCTTGAGAAGAAGATTTTTTAATAACCACACCCTATTTTTGTCTTTTCTTGATTATCTCCCCTTGTAAGGGGACTTGGCCCTTCATTTTAACAATTTAAACTCCCCTTCACCCATGGGTACTTTGTACCAAGTTTGGTTAAAATTGGCCCAGTGGTTCTTGAGAAGAAGTTGAAAATGTGAAAAGTTTACAGACGGACGGACGGACAGACGGACGACGGACAACGGGTGATCAGAAAAGCTCACTTGAGCTTTCAGCTCAGGTGAGCTAAAAAGTTCAAAAGGAATTTGGGTAAAAAAAAATATCAAGTTAAATTGAAATCTCCAAACATATTACATGTCACTATTATGCAGGAGTATAATCAGGATAATCAATGATCATTTCTTTGCCTGACTTACAAAGCATTTGTTGCATTCTCTGGTTTTCCAAGTATGAATCCTGCATCAACATGATTCTGGATTTTAGCATCCTCTGTGACTTCATGGTATGGCAGATACAAGCACAAAGACGTCACTTCCCAGACCAGTACACCAAAGGACCACTAAAGGAGAGAGTATCAATTCATTACATCAAAACAAAAAAAAAAGCCATTAACACTTGGGAGAAAAATACAGTCTTTCTGATATAACAATGCAACTGATATGCAAGTCTGGAAGATTTACTGATTTCCCTTGCATTCTGGGTAAGGTGTAAAGCCAATTTAAGCCCAATATGCATTTTTTTTCAAGGAGCACATTAATTTCATTTTCATAATACCCCTCTAAATAGCGATCCTCATAACAAATTTATCCTGTCGATGATTTTTCAAAAACATCAAGACTTCATTATCTCTGAGCGATGCAAACTGTTCCGTAACAATTGTTTACCTTGTGACATTGTCTGAGGCTAATATATGTGACATCAATCATCAAGATCATTGCAAGCAAGATCAAGTGAAAACAACATAGAGAATTTGATCTGGACAGTATTGGCATGTGTAGGGGGTATACTGATTTGATATTCAGTCACTTGGTTACGTGGGGTATTAACAATATCATGTTAGTAGGCAGCATGATATATGGTTTTATACAGTATTCCTCTTGACCAATGTAATTTCAAGATATTCATCAGAGACAGGATAAACAGCATTATGAACTTACAAGGATATAACAATAAGTTCATGAGTCAGAGTTCTTGAAATGACTTTGTCTGACATTTTGTAAATTTTGCTTATATGCGCAATATCTGCATATACTAAGGACTGTCCCTTTATATCAGTCCAAGAAAATGTTTGTCAATCAAACCCGTCAGACTGACATTTTTCAAGAACTTATACAGGAAAAGGAAGAGAAGTACATGTACCGTAGTGCTATAAATAATACTGAATTAATACGCAATTTCCAATTTCCTCTAGCTATAAATTATTTATAGTTACTGTAAAACATGCTTATGGTGAAGTGCCAGGGACGGATAATTTAGGCTTCGTTTTAAGCATAATTCGTTATATTCGTTTAGTTCATAATACTATTCAAAACCAAGGGGGATGAAAATCACTTCACTATAAGCATAAATTCATTATAAGTGTGTTCACTATAAGTCAGCGTGTTTTACTGTATATGCATTATATGCAACAATAAAAAAGTATTCACCACATCAGAAGATTTGTCATAGAACCCTGCTGTCAGGCTCTCGGGGGCCATCCATCTTACAGGAAGGTATTTCTCACGGCGATTGTCGTACATGTACTCCTCAGGGTACAGGTTCCAGGAGAATGCTGCGTCTGTTACCTGGACTGTGTCATTATCACACACTCTGTAAAGTTAATTAGAAACTAAAAATTCAATTTACTTACATCTGAAAATTACATGCAACCATTATATCCAACTGTGAATTAAAATGATAATCAAAATTTGTACAATATCATTAAAAAGCAAATTTACAATTTAAATTACTTTATCATGTTTATTGTTCTAACTGCTACATATTTATGAAGGAAATTATTAAATGAGGGCTAAAAGCCCTTAGCTAATTTTCTTCTATGTGAATGACCTTGATGACATATCATATGGCAACCACTTTTCATTTCCCTGGTTAACAACAATTCAAAAGTTGATGCTAAAATTTGTGCACTCAGGTGTGGAAAGAAGGGGGAGAGGGGTCAGGAGGGTCCGTATCCCGCCTGGGATTTTCAGCTTTAGTAAAATTGCAAAGTAACCAAAAATGACCTTGGAACAACCAGCCATTACAAAAGATGGACCCCTAAGAAAATGGCCAGGATTCACATGTAACTACATGTACCTGTATATACATGCATTATGAAGGAAAGTGACTTGTCCTTAACACATCCCTTTCTTTTTTGTTTGTCAAAAAAGTTTCAGAGTCAAGAATTATTTTGAGTGGTGTAGAAACATGTACCCCCTCCTCCTTTTTTGGAAAAATTACTGGATTCAAACATGAGATCTATTTGGTATTGGGCAAGTCTCCCAGACTCTGTTTTTACAGTAACTGCAGATGATTTCACACATCAGTGACTGAGATACCAAACATTAACAGTACTTTAAAACTTGAAAATGAAATTCATCAATTATAAAATACAGTGGAACTTGTCTAATGCAGATGCTGTGTATTCCAAAATCTTGTCTAATACAATGTAAACTTGAAGTCCTAATTTCAGTAATTTTAATTGTTTAAAATATAGTCTAATCCGGAATGTTGTCTAATCCGAGCAATTTCTTTGGAACCTGTGTATGCCGGATTAGACAAGTTTTTACTGTATATCAAAATTATTCAATCATTTAACTTACACACAGTTCCTGGCTGCCAGATCTTTGTGTACAATGTCTATGTTATGTAGGAACTGAATGCCCTCTAGGATCTGCACACATTTATCTAGGAGCAAAGCTATGGTGGGAACCTGAAATAAGAGACCTTCTCAATTTAAAGAGAAATTAAAAAAAAAAAAAAAAAAAACAGAAGAGGAGGTAAACTTTTTCTCCATTCTGGTTTTTTAAGGTTCATTAACCCTCTGAAAAGAAAGATAACTCTAATTTAGATAAATGACTATGATTCCTGTATAAAACTTAGAAGGCAGTTTCTTTGAAATTATTGTGGATTTTTCATCATGAATTCGGTTTCTTTTGGAAATTAAATTCTCTATTTTTGAAGCAAACTTCTATAGTGAATATATGGTATCCAGGGATGGGGTCGATTACTTTCAAAAGTAATCGATTAAATTACAATTACTTTGGGTTTTCAAAGTAATTGATTACAAGCTGTTTACAGCCATTTTTTAAAGTAATCAATATTACATATTGATACAAGTGATGAACCTTTCAATTAAACTGCCAATTGTTAGATGTTTTTACCAGAATTAATTTTTTGATTGGACAAGCATTGTTAGATGATCTCTATTGTTATAACCCAGACTGACCCAACTTATAAGCATACCTGTGTTTTATTGCCAATTAGTTGACATTTTTTTTGGTAAATCAAACATAGTTATGATTTTTAGAATACACATTACAAACTTTAAGGTACATTTGAGAAAAAATTCACTTCTATATTTAAGATTTACAGGGGAAAAAAATTTGCATTACAGTCAAAAAAATCAAACTTTAAGATGACCCTGTAATAATTTAATTTTGGTTGTAAAGCATCATCTGATTGGATAAAAAAATTAGAATATAGCGTATAACCTGGGTTGCCTACGTCACAATGACTTACGTCAAAAACGTATCAATCTGCTTGACGTTACATTTAAAATACGTACAATTTAATGGCATTTTTGATGGAGAAATTGTTTTATTTTTTACACTTAATGATGGGAAATTAAATTATAAGGAATGACTTTAATAGCTACCCAAGTTATATTGGTATAACCTGGGTTGGAACAGTTTACGCTTTTTTATAAACCGCTTCACGGTTTATAAACTGTAAACTGCCCCAACCCAGGTTATACCAGTATAACTTAGGTAGCTATTAAAGTCATTCCTTATGTAATTTTCCTCAGTACTTTGTATATATATTTAGCTACACAAGGTGAATTGCTAAGCTGCTTAAGTATTTTGAAATAACCATTGAATATACATGTAACTAGTATGAGAGTATTCACTCACTTCTGGTCAATGGACCTTATTATGAACAAGGCAATAAAAGAAGATATATAGATATAAGTAGCCTATAATTTTTATAATAACTTTTGATTATAAGCAAATTTGCACTGTTAAAAATATTCACTGAATCTCATAAAAAAAAAAACCCATGATTTTATGCACTTTTTTAATCATTGTAATCATAAAGTAATCAAAAATCATGATTACCAGACTTTATTTAGAGTAATTGATTAAATTACAAATACTTGTAATCAGAAAAACGGATGATTACTGATTACTCATGATTACACCACAAACTGTAATCGATTACAGCTGATTACGATTACCCCATTCCAGATGGTATCTAATGTACTTTTCTGCAACTTATCACAATGTCACTTAACTTTAAAATGCATTAAATTGGGACACCATATACATGAAACCTGGTCATGGAATGGCAGTAAATAATGAATATACAGGTAATAGAAGTGAAATGGATAAAACATCTATGGACACTTACAATACTTTTGTCACTGAGATAATCTTTTAAACTGCGCTTGTATCCTGGGTACGTAATGTAAAATCGATCTTTATCTGTGGCGATTCCTTTTGTCTGAAGAATATTCTCATCAAAGGCATCACGGAATCTTAGGCATTCCTGTAGTCCTGTGTTTACCCAATCAGGAAGCAAGTCAGTTTCTGTAATAGTATTATAACTGATAGAATTACATATCTATTTATTTAAATATTTCAGATTAAAAGATTAAAATATCCTTAAACTTAGAAACCTTTTATAATGCTCTAGATGGATGATCTTTGAAACTCCAAAACACAGACTGTAAAATCACATACAATGTATTTTCATGGGGTCAAATTTTTGAGGTTCGAGGAAAAACAAGAAGTCTGTGAGCAAATGCTCACTAGTAATACCCCCGCTCTGATGTGAATATACGGTTACCCTCTCATATTCACATCGAATTCATACAAAAATGAATCCCACCATTTGGCATGCCTAAACAAAGATTGTGCTAAAATTTCAAGCATCTTCGCTGAGTAGTTGCTAAGAAAACTGTGACGGAAATTTGGTACGGACAGACGCACCGAAAAACAGGAAGTTGACGTCAGATTTAAACAAAAATGAATCCCACCATATGGCATGCCTAAACAAAGAGTGTGCTAAAATTTCAAGCATCTGTGATGAGTAGTTGCTGAGAAAACTGCAACAAAAAATTTGTTATGGATAGACGCACCGATAAACAGGAAGTTGACATCTAATTCATACAAAAATAAATCCCACCATTTGTCATGCCTTAACAAAGAGTGTGCTAAATTTCAAGCATCTACACTGAGTAGTTGCTGAGAAATATGCGACGGAAATTTGGTATGGACAGACGCACCGATAAACAAGAAGTTGACATCGGATTTGAACAATAATAAATTGGACCATATGGCATGCCTAAACAAAGATTGTGCTAGAATTTCAAGCATCTGTGATGAGTAGTTGCTGAGAAAACTGCGACCAAAATGTGTTATGTATGGTACGGACAGACGCATGGATTAACAGGAAGTTGACATCGGATTTAAACAAAAATGAATCCGACCATATGGCATGCCTAAACAAAGATTGTGCTAGAATTTCAAGCATCTGTGATGAGTAGTTGCTGAGAAAACTGCGACAAAAATTTGTTATGGACAGACACACGGACACACAAGGGTAAAACAGTATACCCCCCTCTCCTTCAGAGGGGGGGTATAGTTATTGGTTTGTTGGAATTTGATTTCATGGGGGAAGAAGTGCTATTTTTTATATATCTCAAATTTTGCATTTTGTGGAGGACATAAATTTGTGGGTCTCTTCATACGACAAAAACAATGAAAATTAAACCGCCACGAAAATAAGTGTTTTCACAGTATATATCTATATCTTACAATTTTTGTATATATATATATGAACTTTCAGCCATATTTATGATCATGATGATAATAGTGTATAAGATGAATTTTTAGCAAGACGCAAATTAAAGGATTTTTCCTAAAAAGTCGGTATTTAATTTTAGAGAGAATTAATATAGAAAGATAAGGGTAACCTCCGATGTGGAATGAATTGTTAGCGATATTCAATTTTAGCAATGTCAACAACCTTGCTAAAAATGCCAAAAATTGAATCCTCGCTAAAAATATTGAATATGCACATATACTGACAAACCTTGTTATCTTGAGCTCAACAGGATCAATATTAAACTTTGAGATATCAGAGGATTCGAGATAATGAAAGTTAAAAAAAAACATAAAGAAAAAAGTTGTTGGGTCGACCTATCCCTATATTCAAGTTTTGGTGTTCGAGATAACGAAGTCCAACTGTATATTCCAAATAAAAAAAGTAATTTCTTCATACCAAAATTACTGTAAGAGTTGACCAGTGTCTTGAACATTGCTGGCCGCCCAGCATAAGGCTTCCCTGTCCCGTGTGCAAAGCTTCCATCTACAATGCGTATTTCATTTCCTGAAAATGAAAAAAAAAATAATCGACTGTGACAATACACATGTAGCATGTTAACTAAAGAAGACAGAGTCTTACATCAAGAATTTAAATGTTTTCCACAATTATCATAATGATTCAAATTTCATTTTTAAAAAAAATAAAAAATTATTAATACTCATTAGTATCCATGGGATACAATGCTTACCTGACCCCTGCAAACCTTCAGAATAAGACTTTTTAAAGATTTTTTTCCCTTTTTGTGTCCTCAAAAAATTTTGACTCCATCTTGTGACCCCAACATAAACCCAAAGGTTATGATTTAACCAAACTTGACATAGAATACCGGTAATCTATTTGTGTACAGACTTATAATAAAATACGAAAATTTGACCAAAATTGTAGAAAGACTATAGCACTTTTAGCAAAGTTCACAACAACTAGAACTATCCAAAATAGACACATAAATACTCCCCCCTCCCGCTTTATCTTTATTCCTTCAAATTCTGTCCCACTCCCAAGAGATACAGATAACAGCTGCTTGATCAGATATGCTGTAACAGAATGATTGAGACAGCTAGCCTTCCTACATTGAACTCATTAATTAATCTACAACTAGATGCATGTCCACTCATGCATTACTCCCGACAAGACAAATGGATTTACACTATCTATTGTGTGATGCACTGCATTTTCAAAGTACAAAATTATAATTGCATATTTAAAATGTCAGTACTGTTCAAAGCAAAAAGATTTTATTTTAAATCTGTTATAAAGTTGTAATATAATTCTTAAAAACTGTTTAATTTTGATGCAACATTTTTTAATAAGGTTACTACATACTGGTTACTCTTACATTTGTAGAGACTTATATTTACCATACTTTTTCTTTAATTCTTGATGGTGATTTTTTTAGTTGTAATGACCTGGTTATAAGTTGCAATTCACATTTTTCTAAAGTACCAAATGGCAGGCTTTTTAAATCTATGTCTCAAATCTGCATGAACGCAAAATGGGTCTTTTGTGAAGTATGAAAGCCCTAGCACCAACCATTCAAAAGTTATGGCCAAGGTTAAAGTTTTTCAAAAGTAAGTCAAACTCTTAGGTCAAGGTCAAAGCTGTTGTTATCTAAAAGAAAGGTCCTGTCACAAGGATTACATATGTGAAGTATGAAAGCTCTAGCACCAACTGTTCAAAAGTTATGGCCAAGGTTAAAGTTTTCCAAAAATAGGTCAAACTCCTAGGACAGGGTAAAGGGGTCAAATTTGTTGGTATCCAAAGGATGTACTTGTCACAAGGATTACACGTGTGAAGTATGAAAGCTCTAGCACCAATTGTTATGGCCAAGCTTTAAGTTTGGTAAAATTTTGCAAAACTGGGTCAAACTCCAAGGTCAAATATGATGTTACCCAAAAAAAGTCTTGTCACAAGGAATACACATGTGGAATATGAAAGCCATAGCTCCAACCAATCAAAAGTTATGGCCAATGTTAAAAATTTTGCAGACAGACAGACAGATGGATGGAGAGGGCAAAAACTACAAACCCTGAATCTTCGATACGGGGGCATAAAAATGTTTATAGACAGACACGCAGACACCTTACCATTGTATATTAAGCTCTTCTGATCTTATAGAGCTTCAGATTTTTTATGAAGTCTACATTGTATACATATACAATCATGTACATAATTATGTATTTAGATCTGAATTAGCAGTTCTCCATGGTCAATGTGAAAATAAGAATAATGTATTTCACCAAAGAGCTGTCAAATATTCAATAACGAGGGTTTTTTTTATCACCTTTCTTGATACACCGAGTCCCTACAACAATGTCGGATTTTTCCATGTGACTGGCATTCAACATCTTCCTGACTGATTGGTTGATTTTGTGTATAAAGTTGCTCCAGCATTCCTAAAAAATAGATTTTACAAATATGTTAACAAAGCAATGATTTTTTTTTTTTAGATTATGCTTATTATCCATCTGACAAGGGCAAACACCTGTGAATATAAGCAAATGCATCAGACTGCATGATCAAACATTTTTCAAATAATCAGTCTGCCCCAGTGGATAGATTCATATAGCTCAGGGTATTCCCTTCAGGATATTGTCTAAGTACTACAAGAAAATAGACGTAAAATCACATTTTTATCATTTATCTGTTTATTAAAAAAACCTCAATGACGTCACCCATTGTTCTTAGTCTATGTATATTTTACCGATTTAACCATCACTAGTTGGATACTTAAAAGATCCCACTGGCCATCAGTTGGATATTCAAATATCCAACTGCCTATCGGTTGGATATTTAAATATCCAACTGTGCATACAAATATAATTAAGCAATAAACAAAAGAGATAAAAGAGTTTGAAATGTATTTCCAATGCACATAAAAAAGTAATTACTCCATTTGTCACACTATTAGAATTTATGTCCAATGCACATGGAATTAATCACTTCGCATTTTTCACACCATTAGAATCGTGTACTTCCAATTCTCACAAAAATTACAATTCCTCTGAATTTTGCATACTATTAGACTGTTGTTGGTCCAATGTGGGGAAGTTTTTTAAGTAAGATAAATAACTCGATAGTGTTGAATAGTTAAGAGAAAACATCCCCTCCTCGAGCCTTTGGCCCTCAGAGGGAATTTTGTCTCTAAACTACTCAACACCATCTCATTATTTATCCATTACGTAAATCTGAGTAATTTTTTTCAATTTCTACCCTATATACTCAACTACTTCGATCTTTTGGTTAGAAGTTGCTAAAATGGTACATACCTTTTCAAGCTGTACTCCCTCGTAGCTGTTGGGTCGGGCCCTAGGATGATTCTGGGATTCAAGGTCCAAACCAATTTCATTCAAGTCCAAAGCAGGGGCATCTGGTTGCTCTAAAAGAGATTTTATATAAATCATCGAGGATATTATATAATTATCACTGTTGGATGTCCACTAACAAATATATGTAATTGTACACACAGTAAACAACACTTGAACTAATTCAAATTTCTATTTAACTTTTCGTTAATAGTTCTCAAAATTTGTGTTTGCACTCTGCATTGATTTCACTTTTCATTCATCATTCACTGTCTCATATCTTTCTCCAAGCATGCACAGTTTTGTATACTAATATCATACATTAAAAATTCTTGTATAATTCTTTTAATCAATTGAATATATACCTAAGTATCTTTTCACAGTACTAAATTAGTAGGGTATGAAGGCTAATAATGTGTAATACATAGAACTCACCTTTCACCAGAAGACCGTTTTCATTGTTATTTATCTGTACTTTCTTGCTGCGACAGAGGCAGCAAAGGATGATGGGAAGAAGAATCACAAGAAGGATAAACAAAGATCCACCCACGGCAATTAGTATGAACTGCCAGGTGCTCCAAAACTTGTACAATGTTACTCTCTGTATATTATACTCATGCCCTCCTATGTATAACTAGAATATAAAACAATTCATCATGTTGACTCTGAAGAATTGAATTTTGCTGCAATGACCTTTTTTCATATATGACAATTATTTGGGTACAGAAAATATACTGAAACGCAAAAGAAACGCAACATCCTCTTTTAGAGGGGAAAATCGTATAAAGGATATAATTTTGCATCTAAAAAGGACGGATATTTTCAACATTGTAAGTATCGATAATTTAACGGTTGAATGATTTTCGTGCCATAACCGGAAGTTAAGTTTGAGCCCGCTGAACAGAAATAAAAAATTGCATGTTTAACAAAAAATTTGACAAAAATATGGGAATTTAAGGGTTTGTATCTGTTTATCATAAGTAATGCAGCAATATTTCGCAAAATAAATTCTCCTTTCGTTTCCGGAAGAGATGCCAAGGCTTCCTGAAAATAACTTAAGTACGAATTTCAAATGCTCTAGGCTAGCTGGAAAATCTGAAAATAAAGGTGATGAAGAATTGCAGATGCAAAAATGCCCAACAACACGCCTCAACAGGCTCATACGTATCATTTGCATGAATGATAGTTCGTGGACCGGAAGTCCAAGTGTTACTACACTGCGCTAGGTTAGAGAAAATTCGACTTCATCATCTCAAAAACGGACATTTAAAAATTGCAAAGAATATTTTTTTCGCTCAGATCCCGAGACTGATGAACTTACTGCATCGTGGAAATCAAGCTGCAATTGCTGTGCATGGCAGTCTTCCACGCTATAATTGAATGGCCGAGAAGGGGGGTGTTTTAACAGTCATGTGATACTTTCTAAAGTTATAAGGTAATCATTTAACATTGTTATCAAATCTTCGATGCTTTTAAATCAAGTTTAACTTAACTGTAATCAGTTTTGAAAATCATTAGTTAAAAGGTTCAAATATTTGTAGATTACTGCTAGTTGCGTTTCTTTTGCATTTCAGTATATAAAAACATAAAAATTACAAATATTACAAAGCTCACCTAAATGAATGTTATCTATAAATAAGGTAAATCACACACAAAATTTATTCTCAAGGTCAATCTCCATGCAAGATTGGTATTGGTAGGACCGATTGTTATTAAGGAATGTACTTGTTCCAAACACTTAACTCATCCAGAAGCAAGTCTGGTACATGTACTGTCCATTCTTAGATGCATCAACCATGCCAATGCAAGTTTGGTCCAGTTAGGGCTCATTAAATTACTTGGGAATGCATGGACCTGCTCCATAAGACTTTAACCTGGTCACTCATCTGATAAATATAGGTCAGATCCAGCATCCGAAGCAAGTCTGGTAGTGTCTATCCATAGATGCATCCATGTAAGTTTGGTTCAGGTAGGGCTTAAAATTATACAGTAGGTACTTGGGAAAGGAATGGGGGATAGCATAATTTCACAAATTCATCTCAAATTTGCTGAGGTAAGGTAAAAGGTTTGAATCGATGTTAAAGCTGTTGAATGCAATTCTTATTAACAGAAGTTTAAAATGGCATAAAAAGATTAAATTCCAGAGACATAAATTTTCCTGAATGGAACAATTACATAAAACATATGCATGCATGTTTACACTTTTTTTTTTAATTATGTTGAGTGTATTACATTTCCCATTTATTGTGCATGTTTGTAATATATATTCTGATCAATCAGCCTTTTAAGCTTCATGATATGACATAATATCATTTTATCAAAGAAAAAAAAAATAGAATTGCAATCTTAGACTTTCAAGTATTAACACACATGTTGCTGACCAGTTCCTCAAAATAAGTTCTTGGTTCTCTTACCGACAAAGGTATAACATTGATTTCATGATTTTTTTTAGTTACTGTAGATTGAGATCCTTATTGTACGCAAGTACTTAGCAATATCGCGAAATGACTTTTAGACGTCAAAGTGCAAGAACATATAATCTCGAGTGAGCTTTTCCTTGATTTATTTTGGTTTTCAGCACCTTAAAAATACAAGTGAGTAATTTTATTTTTGTGACTGATGCTTCTCGCAAAATTATGCGATAATTAATTCCTCGCATATATATTTAGCAATCTACAGTAAGTTAGGGCTTTTTGTATAAAATTGTTATTAACAACAAGTGAATTCTAATTTCATTTATCAAATTTACACAAAATTACCATCATCTCAACTTCCTCATCTACACCAGGAAACCCGATATCAGGTTCACATTTAATCAAGTTCCTTTCACGGCTTGTTATCAGGCATGGGTAACTATTGGAAGACCCCTTTAACTTCACTTTAAAATCTGAATCTGCACAACCAGTTGTGAACTCTTGGCCCTGAAATCATAAGAAATCCATTAGTCAGTACACTTCTGGTTCAATACAGCCGTGTAAAATCAGAAAGCTAGATTATGACACAAAAAAATTCATTATTAATACCGGTACTGTATGTGGAATCATTGTTTGTGGGTAGTCAAAATTTTACTAGTTTGTGGGGACGTAATTTCTTGGGTAACTTGCATACTTTATTAAGACTGATAAATAAATTAACTGTGCTAAATGTATGTGTGTTTGTTTCAATGTCCGTGGGGACGTTAATTCATGGGTAAGGGCAACTCACGAAATCCAAGAACACTGATCCTCTAGGAACAATGATGTTTCCACAGTAAGCAACATTAGAAGTAAAATTGCAGCAAAACTGTATGTGTACTTAAAAAAGCGAGCTTCATATTTTAGTGGCTTTGGCACAGACAACGATGCACTAATTCATGAATAACGCTAAGAAATCATTTCTAAATACAATATACAGCAAGGACATGTATAGCGCTTATTCATGATTTCGCCAACAAATACATACCCAGTGACTGTGCTAAATTTTGAATACGCTAATTTACGTACACGTACAGTATTTGCAGCAAGTTTTATTCCGGGTTTCAATATTTGGAAAATGCAAGCAATATTTTCTGCAGACTTTGTAAAAATCTCAATAGTATACCAAAAAAGTTTGCTGAATACTTATAATGCTGCATACTTGCAGCAGACACAAGTATGCAGGCTTACAGTATATGCTTTAATGCTTGTTTGGGTTCAATGCATTAAGTTTTTGGCCAACTTGCAGCAATGTCTACAGCACAGATGCAACAAACTGTTTGGCCAATGGGAAGCAATTTTTCTGGTAATATATGCATGGACTAGTCTAGACAGTTTACTCCCCTCTTCCAATAATTTCAAACAAATTCCTTGTTAATGCAAAATGGTCAAAATTCTGGCTTTGTGAAATAACTGAATATTTAAATATGTCAACCTGTTTTCATCACAGATTCTTTTGATGAATATAATCAAGGGTCAATGACCATTTCAACTAAATCAAGTCAGTTTTGGAAAATGTACCCCTCATACAGTTAAATATGGTTACTTATAACGAATTCTTACTTTATAAAAGTAAAGTGATTTTTTATTCCCTGTAGTTTTTTGATTATGAAATTAATCCAACACAACGAATTAACATTTATAACAAATCCAAATTGTTCTTCTTTGGAATTTGCGATAAGCATGTTTTACTGTACCTCAATTTGCAGTTCAACAGCAAAGATTGGCCTGTATTCCTGTTTTTCCTCTACCTCTTGTGTTGGCACTGGATCCTTAACAATTTTAATCTGTGCATTTGGGAAAGTATTGTTATTTTCGTACATTGTTGTGCCATCTAACTGTACGCCAAATCTCAAAACAGTATCCCGGTTGAATCCACTTGGAGAATTACAAAGGATTTCAGTGCTGCTTGAAACAGAGCATTGCTGAAAGACGAGTTAAAATTGTTTAATACTATGTTCTTAATTTTACTTTTTTTGAGAACTTGAGAAAACTAAAACAATTATCTTCAATCTTTCAGCTACTTTTGATTTAATGAAGATCTGCCAATTTATGTGAGAAACTTAGCTTTGAAAAAATTGATTCAAAATATATAATTATAAATTACCTCTGTCTTAAGTTTTATTCCACTCTCATTATACACAATAAGCATTGGTTGACTGACACTGTCTAGATTTGTCCCCCTGATGGGGATTTTACATCCTCCCCTGCAAATATATCACATGAATTTAAAATACCAGTATATAAATAGATTCACATATAGTATGATACTTGTATGGTGAGGTAGGAGAGGGAGGGTTGAACTTGAGGGAGGGTTCTAAATTAACCTCTACATTTAGTAATTTTAATTCTCATTAATTTCCAGTCTACACATCAATTCATTCAGTTACTAATTGCATGTCGAACCATCAGGCAGGATTAAAAAGGATTTTGGTGACTAAAGGTTAATCTGTTCATTAGAGGTCATAATTATACTGATGTCAAGTACAGTGGTGCCTAATTAATCTGGACACCTTCATTCCCAATGAAAATTGTTTGAATAAACCCAGAATTGCTTCCTTAAAAAAAAATACTCTAACTAGAAATGTGTCTATAGGACATATGAATGCCTGCCCAGGGTTCATTAGTAATGCAACATGAAAATTTGCATAAGTGTATGAAGTTTGATAAAATATCTTGAATAGTTTCTCTAAAACTGAGTTTTTTACAAAATAATTATTAAAGTCAAAGGTCATTGGGAAGGTCAAGGTAAGATCCAGCAAACGAAGCAACTCTGGTAGTGTGCAACCTTAGATGTATCATCCCTAGAAGTTTGGTCAATATTTTATATTATTATATGATTGAATAATTTATTTCTCTCTGATTGACTGAGATCCCACAACGTAGAAAAAAATACTACGCTATATTCACCTTCCTGGTGAATATAAGGATTTATTTTCTCCACATTAGACTAAAAATAGATTGGGAAATTCCAAATTGATGCAAATAGTTTTGGAAAGTTGTTTCACTTGCACCTGACTCCACTCAATAGGCATATGAACATAACATTAAAGCACATAGATTTGTGGGTGAGGGGTGGGTGGGGGTTGCAGGGGGCCTTTCCATCTCCCCACCTTTTGAGAATGTGAAGTTTAAATTTAAATTTTAAGGATAAATTTTTTTAATGAAAGCCCCCCTCCCCTCTTTTAGACCTTTTTACATTCCACCAAATAAAACTCTGAGATGGGAGAATTCTTCTCTTTTTATTTGGGGGGGGGGGGGGGGGGGGCTAGTCAAAGATTTGTTTTCAGGTAAGTTGTCAATTTTTTTTCCTTATAATGCCTCCTTTCTCAAAATCAATCCTATATATGTGTCTGAAATTTATTTTTTCTACATGGCACCTAAACTAGAATCGAAAATTCCAAAATATGTAAGGGTTAATGTACGATTAGCACTCCATTCCTTAAAAGTAATGGAGCCGAGGCCCCGAAGGGGCTGAGGCTTATTGCTTTTAGGAATGGAGCGCTAAGAGTATATTAACCCGCTTAAAATCCACCGTTTTAAATGCTTGTAGTTATTGTTTGTTAATATATAATAAAGAATATTTATAAGATACACTGTAAATATACATTTAATGCATTATAGTAGAATTTAATTTATATAGAGAGAGTAAGCCGAAAAAAGTGCACTGAAGTCATTTAAATCCCCTGTCATTCAACAACTTTGATAGCGTATTGAGATGTGTACCTCGGACCACAAAGGTGAAGGTACCTGGTCCGATTCTCAACAGTACCACATTTATTTTCTTTATATGAAAATAAACTTATTAAAAGTTTTTTAGTTCTTTCCTCGGTAGAGGCACAGGAAGAAGAATGTGAATTTAACGAATTCCGTTTTCAATGTAATTTGCAACTCTCCATTCCTGAAAAATAATGGAGCGCTCAAACAAAAGAGTGATGTCACAAGTGGATTTTAATACAAATGCATGAATATGCTTTTTAACCCTGTGTCTCTCATTATGTTTGGCTAGTACTTCAGTAAATGTAAACAAGTAAGATGGCATGGATTGCTTACTGAGTGTGTGTCATTTAATCACTGAATCATATAATAAAACAATTATTGCTGTTTTTTCAGTCAATACAATGATTTAGCCGCCTTCGAAGTAAAATATTCACCTTGACCTTCGGGCTCAGTAAATGCTGTACTCCTCAGGTGTCTAAATCATTATATTGACCTCAAAAACCAGCAATAATTGTATAATAGGGCTTATAGTTATTTACAAATGAGACCTGCTCCAGAAACTTAAACCTGCTCCAAAAACATTAACCTGGTCATTCTTTGGATGAAAATGCAGCATGAAACCTGAAACCTGCACTGTTACATGTACAATGAAACATACTACAAGCATCGTCCATGCATCTCTGATCAATATAGGGCATAGAAGTACTGGGATACCAATGTCAACACAAAGGGTATTACATAAGCTCCCCCAACTTCTTTGAGGTGAGCTAAAAAATGGTTGAATTACAATTCAAAATTTTACTTCTTAAAGGCTTTTAATGACTGGACCAAGTCTGGCTTTAATGAAGGGTTTGGTCTGTATTCAAACTGGAACTCTTTTGTGAAATCTTTTTCTGTTCCAACTTCATACACCTTAGCCCAGCGCAGGGTTACTGAAACTTTTCCTACTGTGCTTTGAAATGGTGTAATAAATGTCAGTCTTTCATCAGATCTACAAAACATGTAGTTACCATTCAAGTAAGAAAAAAAAGTTTTTAAATATTATAACTGTAAAACTTTTATTAAACAATAAAGTGACTCAGATGAATGCGAACAAAGCGAGTGCAATGCCTATAGTGCAACAAACATTAAGGTGAAAAATTGAATCTCAATTTTAACTAATTTTCTTAGATAATTCATCTAAAATTAAGTATACTTTAAGTTAATTCTCCAGAATTTGCAAAAATCTCACAAAGTTTGATTTTATTTGCCTATGAAATAGCATACACACACACTAGAGAGGGCAAAAAGGATAATTTTCTCACACTATAACAGCCGAGTTTTTCGATATGAGTGGGTCTTCGCTCCATATTTTCAAAAGTTTATCCTCAAAGTTTGTGAAAAAATATACATTTTTTGGTCAACAAAAACATTGAGTAAGGACCCACTATACTTTAAAAATACACTTTTATGACACAACATTCGCAACTTTCCGAGAAATACTTGAAGTCCATTTAGTCAAGGGTCATACCACAAACATGATTTAAATGCCAAGATTCATCAAGAGCTGTGTAGCGTAGTGGTTAGCGTGATGGTCTCAAAGGAAAATGATACTCAGGATTTTTATTGCCAGGGTTCGAAAACCTCATTATTTTTTAAATATCAGAATAATTTTCGCAGAGAAAATTTTCCACAGAAAAGTTTTGTTTATCATAAATTTCAATAATGAGAACTTTACTTTAAATACTAAATTCACAAATTGATTATGATTTTTAAATATCTGAAGCTATAGGCATTCTGCAGGCCTTGTTCACCCATCTCCTTTTGAAAATTCTTGAGGACATGAACTATGGCACTTCAAGCTAGCATATTTCATGAAGTGTGTTACATGTAGCACTTCATGATAAATATACAGAGTCTGACATGAAATTATAGTTCATGTACCTCATGAATTTTCAAAAATTAAATTCATATCTTACATTTACATTTTTTATTCATCTGATGACTAGCCACAATTTAATATGTCACTGAACTATCATTTTTGAAAAAAAAAAAAAAATGATTGCACTAAATTTTTGATGTTATGGAGATATTCATGTTCATCCATGCAAGTTCATATGGAAATGAATTGCATGCCTATTTATAAGGAATCTTAAGGGAAAACTATTAGAAATGTAAATATTTTTAATAATGCAAGAGGTCTAAGGGCCTTGTTACTCACCATAGTCACCTTGATACTCACAGCTGTCTTTCAGAGAATTTTTCATAATTTTTTTTCCTCCATATTATGCCAAAATAAAATTTTAACATAATATAGAGGTCCCACACAAGCCCCAAGGGATCATGGCTTAACCAATTTGAAACTTATATCCGAAATACATAGGAATTCTGAATATTAATTTGACTAACATGGCCTTGTAGTTATGAAGATTTTTAAAATTGTTTGGTATGTACAAGTACTATGTAAATTTTGATGCCCAATCTAGTTCCATCCTATCCCCAGTGCCCTAGATGATACAAACAACTTTGAATCATTGCAATGTTGGAAAGTTTGCATATTAATACAGGGTCACTTGGGCTATCCCCTTAAATTTTTACTGGTCAGCTTAATACTTTCACTGTCCCACTGGGCCAGTAGATTTTAAAAAGACTGGCCCAAAACCATAATGATAATAGTAATATTTTTTTTTTTATATTGTGATACTTAGAAGTATCCAACTTAACAAAACAAGAAACAGCAGAAGTTGGGACACACAACTCTGTCAAGTTAACTAATCCAAATGTGAATGAATTTTATTATGCACAAAAAAAATGCTGACCCAAAGGGCACATGCCCTTTGCAATGTACTAGCCCAGATTGAAAATTCACTGGCCCCAGACCAACGGGCCATCAATTATTTCGAGCCCTGTAATAAGACTTAGTATCACAGTCCCTGCTACTTTCATATTTAAAGAAATCATAAATATTCATGATTTTTATAATTTATTTATATCTAGATATTACTTCATGCTAGTACACATGTAGAATATATTTGAATATACATGTATATCCCCCCCCCCTTTTCTAGCCCAATGAGTGCCCATAGATTAAAAAAATATGAATCTGCTTTAAAGATTTTCCCCCCCATATATTCCAAGGTAAAAAGTGATCCCTTATTGTGGTTCCACTTAAATCCCAGGGATATGCTTGCCTAATGAGGCCTCACGTACATGTACATGTACCTCTGGGGGACATGACTTGAACAAAGTTAAAATCTGCAATAGCTGAGGATGCTTGCATATCAAAATGACAAATCATGGCCATAATGTTCTTGAAAAGAAAATTGTTTTCCTATATATTTCCATGTAAAATGTGTATACTCTATTTTGACCTGTCCTTCCCCATGATATGAACAAATTCAAATTTACACTATCTGGGTGCTTTAACATATTCTTTCAGGCACAGTGGGCACATGACCCAACCCCATTTTTGCATTTTCTTGTGTATATCTTCTATTGAAAGGGAGTATAGCCCTTCGTTTGTTTAATATAAACTTGAATCCCTTTCACCCAAGAATACTCTGTACCAAGTTTGGTTGAAATTGGCCCAGTGGTTCTGCAGAAGATGAATGTTTACAACAACAATGACAACAATGAAAAAGACAAAGGACAAATTTTGATTTATAGAAAAACTCATTCAAAACATTTTGCTCAAGTGAGTTGATAAGGCACTGTATGGCCAATATAACTATTTGACAGAACATAAACGTTGAAATTTGCTTTAGCAAGCTAGATAGTTTATCCAATGGGACAAAATATGTTAATTCTACCTTGACTGTTTTTATAATTATATTTATTAAGATAAGTAATACACCTTATATTAATACAAAATAATTATATGGGGTATATATAATGGTTATCATTCTCTGAGATTGTGGAAATTCTTAATAAATCCAAATTTCTTTTCAACACTTTCATTGTAAATTAAAGGAAACTATAGAAAAATTTGTCATCTCTGATGGAAATTTAGCTCATATGGCACAACAAATAACTCTACATATTTTAAGGAAATTTACACGTATTTTAATTTTTTTCCCGACTAACCGATTACAGATTTTACCATCGTTCCGGTTACAAATTGCCATCCCTAATATATAAATTATATATATATATATCTGTCTTTAATAGACAGTTCTATAAGTAACTCTTGAACCTGTACTTACACTGAGGTAAATGGCTTGAATGCACCAATTGATCCAACAGCCACTTCTGAGGTGACTACTGATCCATCACCAAACAGTCTACCAGTGACTGCAACTGTTGTGTTTCCAGAAATTGGACCAAAGTCTGGAATCAGCTTTAACGGCTCAAAGACAGGATCCTAGAATTGTAGGATTGAATATATCATAAAAACAATAATAATGTACAGTGTATCATACATAGAGCACAAAGGAACTTCATGATCTCTGAAACAGTGATTATTACGGGTAATATAATCATGGTAGATTTTATCTCGAACTCTGAGGAACCGAGAAAAAACTTTGAGATATCAGAGTTTTCTAGATATAGAGGGTAAAATTCTTAAATAATAAGTAGTTGGGGCTTCCAAATCAATGCATTCCACATATCCATGGTATTCGAGATATCACTAAAATAAATTTGAGATAATACCGAAGTTCAACTGTACATGTAAATTTGGATACTAACAGATCCTAAAACGCTGTGTATTTTCATACTCACACAATTCCTTTTGTTGCTTAGGCTAGCATTTCCCCGGCATCTGCACATTCCACTCGGGCCTTTACTACAGATTTCATTCAGACGACCCACTTTGTTACACTGACAGGGACTGCAGCCTTCTGAATTATCCCGCGTAAGGTTGTAATATTTGTCCACACATTCATCACACTTGAGTCCTATTGAATATAAAAAGATCACAAACTGGTATATCGTCTTTGCTAGCCAAGGGTTTCTGACCTGCTACATTGTACTTCTCAGTTTATGAGGAGAGTAGCAGATCAGAAACCCTTGACTTAAGTGAAGAAGACATATCATTATATATTTACATTTGCAAATGTTTTCTTTTATATAACACTATTAAAAGCAACGCGTATCTATATCCGTAAATAAACGGGTTCCTCGCGTCATAAACATTCGACGTAATTTCTCAGTGAAGTCATAAAGGGTCGATGTGCAATTCAGTGGATCAAACACGTGCCGTTGGGTTTGAAAAATAAAACGTTTCACACGTTAAAGATTATAATCAGGCAAATATAAAATATAAATAAGTCACAAATGTAAATATAAGTAATAAGGTATCATTTTAAAACATCTAACAGGCTATAAATACGGGTTGGTACGAGATCAAATTTACCATAAAGCCCTTCGGGCTTTATGGAATTTGATCTCGTGACCAACCCGTATTTATATCCTGATAGATGTTTAAAAATGATACCTTATTTCTTAACTATACCGTAAATTTAAAATTGTTAACGATTAAAACATGTACTTTACCTAGTAAGAAAACAAACATTAGTTTCCATAAAATAATTGCTGGCTGTGGTTTCTAGATCAAATACTAATAATAAAATCTTAAAATTAAGAAAACAACATACATTATATATATATATATATATATATATATATATATATATATATATATGTATATATGTATATATATATATATATATATATAATATATATATATATATATATATATATATATATATATATATATATATATATATATATATATATATGTATATTCCTTATGTCAGCTCACCCTTGACTTTTTGTTTGCAGTTACACTGGCCATCTGAGTCTGAACAGTTTCTAGGGTCACCTATCACACCTGAAGTGCTACAACTACAATTCTTACATCCATCATCTAAGCTGGCCCCATAGAATCCGAAGTTACATTTTAAACAACGTCCTGAGCTAGTCTAAAACACAAATACAAAATTACATCTACAATACAAGTAGATTACAAAACTAAACACAAAAAATAAAGCACTATATATGAGCTGCAAATTTATTAATTGTCATAATTTTTTGTTGCAAAATTGAAAATTTACTGTGTCATTGACAAGAGAAAAGTATTTATAAACCTCTGTAATTCATATTAAATTTTGAAATCTTATAAGAGCTCTGATATTAATACATGTAATTGATATCCATAAACAACAGGCCCATTGACCACAATGCTCATCCGAGTCAATACAGCCCTGTTGCCTGTTGTTCTTCACCAGCAGATTTTTTCTACAGTACTATATATTCCTATGTAAAACTTTTATCCCTATTGTGACCCCCCCCCCCCCCCCCCCAGGTGTCACGATTTTTATAGATGTAGCCCCATCCTACCCCTCAGGGTCATGATTTGATCAAACTTGAATCAATCCATACTACCTCAATAATACTTCCATATCAATGTGACTAAACATGGCTTTGCTGTTCTTGAGAAAAAGATTTATGAGAATTATGATAAGCACACTTTTGCAGCAAAAAAGAAAATAATAATAATAATACTAAAAAACAAGAGGCCCATGGACCACAACACTCACTTGCGTAACTTTGGCCCTGCTGTTCTTCACTGACTTTCCCCCATGTAATACACCTATTGTGGTCCCATCCTATCCCAGGTGTCATGATTTTAACAATTTAGAATCTACACTACCCCAGGGTACTTCCACATAAGTTTCAGCTTTTCTGGCCCAGTGGTTCTTGAGAAGAAGATTTTTAAAGATTTTTTGTATATATTTCAATGTAAAAAATGGATTCCCTATTGTGGCCCCGCCCTACCCCCAGGGGTCATGTTTTTATTAATTTAGAATCTACACTACCCCAGGATACTTCCACATAAGTTTCAGCTTTTATGGCCCAGTGGTTCTTGAGAAGAAAATTTTTAAAGATTTTTTTTCAATACATTTCAATGTAACAATTTAGAATCTACAATACCCCAGGATGCTTCCACATATGTTTCAGCTTTTCTGGCCCAGTGGTTCTTGAGAAGAAGATTTTTAAAGATTTTTTTCTATATATTTCAATGTAAAACTTAGTGGTGTTCCAATCATTGATTATAATTGAAAATCAGTCGATTGCTGGCATAATTCAAGCGCTCAATTACAAAATTTTTATTCCAATTAATCGGATTATCTATTTTATTTTGCAAGCATAATAGTTTTTAAGCCAAATATTCCAGCAGCAACTTGTCTGTTAACTTATTTGTGCATCGTAATGGCACAGACAAACAGACATTGTATTCATACCCAAGTAACAATGCTCATTCCTGGGTATGGACATACTTTGGATTATACAAAATGAGCGATGAACCAGCTGGACTAGATAGAACGTTCTGTCATTAAAATGATATTGTCCTATGGCCTATAAGGCTTATCCCAAGACACAGATTATTCTAACTACAGCTGAACCACCACAGAAAGTAGTTATTCACCCATTCTTACCATTTAATAAAATAAACTGACAGACTTTGTAAATGTCCGATTATAATTGATAATTAGTTAGTTACAGTAGTCTGATCATCGATTATGAAATTCTTACCGATTCCCATCACTAGTAAAACTTGGATTTCCTATTGTGGCCCACCCTACCCCTGGGGGTCATGATTTTTACAATTTAGAATCTACACTACCCCAGGATGCTTCCTCATAAATTTCAGCATTTCAGGCTCTGTGGTTCTTGAGAAAAAGATTTTTAAAGATTTTTTTTCAATATATTTCAATGTAACAATTTAGAATCTACACTACCCCAGGATGCTTCCACATATGTTTCAGCTTTTCTGGCCCAGTGGTTCTTGAGAAGAAGATTTTTAAAGATTTTTTTCTATATATTTCAATGTAAAACTTGGATTTCCTATTGTGGCCCCACCCTACCCCTGGGGGTCATTTTTTTTATAATTTAGAATCTAAACTGCCCCCAGGATGCTTCCTCATAAATTTCAGCATTTCTGGCTCAGTGGTTCTTGAGAAGAAGATTTTTAAAGATTTTTTTTCAATATATTTCAATGTAAAACTTGGATTTCCTACTGCGGCCCCACCCTACCCCCGGGGGTCATGATTTTAAGAATT